TTAATTGCTAGACCATTATTGATGAGGTCTAAACTTCCTGTATCATGTTGGGGACATGATATATTGCATGCATCAGCCCTCGTGAAAATAAGGCCGACCAGTTATCACTGTTATTCCCCCACTCAATTGGTTTCTGGAAAAATACCAAATATATCTCACATTCAAATATTTGGGTGTGTTGTTTATGTTCCAATTGCGCCACCTCAACGCACGAAAATGGGACCTCAAAGAAGGTTGGGTATATATGTCGGGTATGAATCACCCTCGATCGAAAAATATCTTGAACCAACAACGGGTGATTTATTTACTGCTAGGTTTGCAGACTGTCATTTTGATGAATCTCATTTCCCGACATTAGGGGAAGACAATAATCAACTGAAAAAAAAAGAAATTTCGTGGAAAACACCACTTGAATTTGATCCTCGTACGAAACATAGTGAACTTGAAGTTCAAAGAATTGTGCATTTGCAGAAAATTGCAAATCAATTGCCTGATGCTTTTAATGATGCTGCAAGAGCTACGAAATCATATATTGCAGCAGCAAATGCACCGGCTAAAATAAATATCCCAGAAGGGAAAGTTCCGAGTTCTAATGAACATACTGCCCGCGTAAAACGTGGCAGACCGTTGGGTTCCAAGGACAAGAATCCACGAAAGAAGAAAATTGTAAATACTGGTGAAGAGATCAACAATGATCAGATACCTGAAAAGGTCAGTACAACCCCTGAAGAGGTTGATACTAAAAATTCTGATGAAAGTGATGATGAAGTTATTGAAACTTCTGTTAACTATACCACCAGTGAAAAATATTGGAACAGAAAGAAAACAAATATTGATAATGCATAGCACTCGATATAATGAAAGATGACGAGGATTATGAACCAAAATCAGTTGATGAATATTGGCAAAGATATGATTGGGCAAAAAGGAAAGACGCAATTAAGTCTGAACTGGACTCATTGAAAAAACGGCAAGTATTCGGCTCTATAGTCCAAACACCGGAAAATGTGAAACTTGTTGGTTACAGATGGGTGTTTGTGAGAAAAAGAAATGAAAATAATGATAACACAAGATACAAAGCAAGACTTGTAGCCCAAGGTTTTTCAGAGACCGGGTATTGACTTTGAAGAAACATATTCGCCGGTCATGGATGGAAAAATATTCAGGTATCTGGTGAGCCTAGCAGTACACAATAATCTTGATATGCGATTGATAGATGTAGTTACTGCCTCTCTTTATGGCTCCTTAGACAATGATGTTTACATGAAAATCCCAGAAGAGATTAACATACCTGAATCATTCAAATCAAAGCCAAAAGAATCATATTCTATCAAATTACAAAAATCTTTGTATGGGCTCAAGCAATCGGGCCGAATGTGGTACAATCGTCTCAGCGAAAGCTTAACAAAAGAAGGTTACATAAATGACCCTATTTGTCCATATGTTTTCATAAAGAAAAATGGGTCAGGATTCGTAATCATCGTTGTATATGTCGATGATCTCAATTTAATTGGAACTCCTGATGAAATCTAGAAAGTTGTTGAATATCTGAAAAAGGAGTTTGAGATCAAAGATTTTGGAAAAACCAAATTTTTCCTTGGTTTGCAAATTGAGCACTTGGAAAGTGGAACCTTCATCCACCAATCAAATTATACCAAAAGGGTACTGAAACAATTCATGATGGATAAATCACATCCGCTAAGTACCCCAATGATCGTCAGAGCACTCGATCCAATAAAGGATCCATTTAGACCAAAAGAGAAAAATGAAGAAACACTTGGCCCAGAAGTGTCATATATGAGTGCTATAGGCGCATTGATGTATCTTGCTAACAGCACCCGACCTGATATATCATTTGCTGTAAACTTATTGGCAAGATTCAGCTCATCGCCTACTCGACGACATTGGAATGGGATTAAGCACATTTTTCGCTATCTCCAAGGATCAATTGATCTCGGGTTATTTTACTCGAAAGATTCTCGACATGAATTAATTGGATTTGCCGATACAACATATTTATCTGATCCTCATAAAGCCAAGTCACAAACTGACTACATATTTACTTGTGGCGAAACTGTAATCTCCTGGAGATCGATGAAACAAACTTTAACTGTCACTTCTTCAAATCATGCTGAAATATTGGCAATACATGAAGCTAGTCGAGAATGTGTTTGGTTGAGGTCAATGAATCAACATATTCTGAAAATTTGTGGGTTAATTCCTGACGATAAAATTCCCCCAACTACATTGTATGAAGATAATACAGCTTGTATAGCGCAATTGAAATGGGGTTATATTAAAGGAGATAGAACGAAACATATTTCACCAAAATTCTTTTTTACTCATGATCTTCAGCAGAATTGTGAAATTGATGTGTAGCAAATCCGATCCGATAATAATTTAGCAGATATATTAACCAAGGCATTGCCGACGGCAACATTTGAAAAATTGGTGAAGAAAATTGGGATGCGTCGGTTGAGGGATCTCAAAATAATGCTCAGATCAAAGGGGAGCGAATCGATATAAGAATATTGTACTCTTTTTCCTTCACTAGGGTTTTTTGTCCCATAGGGTTTTTTCCTAGTAAGGTTTTAACGAGGCACATTCTCTGAATAAAAGCATCCAAGAGAGAGTGTTATACACGTAGTACCTTCGTAGGTGCTACGTATGAATATGTCTGCTTTTATTTCCTTCGTGTTGGGGTTTGTTTGCCTATAAATATACCTGTAAATGAAATGAAACAAGGCACTGCAATTTCACTCTCAATTTCCTCTTCTCTCTGCATTTGCATTTGATTATTGTATTATATAATATTATATACATATATTCATACATATATGCTATACGTCTATATATTATAATATACACATCTATATACATATATATATGTTTACTTATATATTATATATACACAGTATATAATATAATACAAAATATAAAATAGTGGTTAGTGGTAGAAATAATTAATATTTTTATTGGTTAATTCTATAATAATATCAAAACAAAAATACAGTATTATATATATTTTCTTAATTTTTATTTATAAATATAATAGTATCACCAACATTATATATATTTTCTTAATTTTTATTTATAAATATAATAGTATTTATGTTGATATGGTTTGAACTGTACAACAAATACATATCTTATTATGAAAAAATTATTTAAATAAATAATTTTTTTTATTCTAAAACAATTTTATGTAGATTTTTTTAAATTTTAATTATAATATTAATTTTTGTTACGGTTTAAATTACAAAATAAATATATATATAGGACGATACTTCGTCTCTATATATATATAATTGTTATAGATATATTACCGAAATAAATAATAATATTTTTAAATTTTAAAATAATTGTATTTATATTTTCTTTTATATATAATTATAATATTTATTTTTTTTTGTTATGGTTTAAATTGCGTAACAAATATATATAGGACGATATCCTGTGTCAAATGTTATTGTTACAGATACCGAAACAAATACATAAAAAGATTGACCAATAATAAAAACATTTTGTCCCGATAAATTTCGTAACAAAAACTTCTTTTGTGACGAACGTTTTTTTTTACGAACAATATACTGCTACAAAAAACCAATTTTTTGGTAGTGATTTCAAGTGAATAGAGTAAAATTTATTTAATTTTGAATTTGGACACGAGAAGAACAAAAGAAAAAATAATAATAATAACAAAGTATAGCATATTATATTATTGATTTCAGTATAATAAATATTCATATACAAATATAAACTTGACAACACGTCCTTGTATATTGCACAATATATCTACAAATATACATTGTTTGCTTTAATTGTCTCTACTGATTGAGTAAAATGTGGATGCCTTAATTGCTGCCGCATCTTGTTTTTCAATTGTATAAATCTCTATAAATATTATTAAATAATACAAATATATTCAGGTATTAACATAATATATATATAAAATATATATTTGATTTTCTCAATTCATAAAAAAATCAACAATATAATAAAATAATGATTTTTATATTATCAATTTAGTTTCCACACCTGATGTAAAAACACAAATTTATCAAAAATAAAAAATAAAAAATCCTATATTTATTATCAAATGCAAGTAAGAGATTTGTTGGTAATTACAGCTCAAAGATATGCATAAATGTAAAAGGCGGCAGGTAGGCATATGCTTTGCTTGCTTGCTGCGTATGCAATCAAACCTTCTATTATTATTATTATTATTATTATTATTATTATTATTATTATCATTTTTGAAATAGAAAATTTTCCTTAGGAAAGATCTATTCGCTTTTAATGCAAAAGGCTGCAGATTCATTTAGAAGCATTAGGTTCTGCCGCTGCTGTGCCTCATTTCTTCTCACACTCTAGTTGACTTCTTTTTCCCAGTTTAAAGCTACAAAAACAATGCTTCTCTAAAAGGATCCTTTTTTTCTTTTTTTTTTTTTTTGAAAAAATAAAAATAAAATTTACTAAACCCTAAATTAAAAATTGCATTGATTAATTAAGATATGGTTAAACGGCACTATGAAAGCCAAGGAAATTGGAGACTGCAAATAAAAGTGTAAAAAAAGACCAATTATTTACAAATTCAGTTGGATTTAACTTGTTTGTTAAGTTAAATTAGCCGATCATGAATATAGATTTTAACTCGTTATGTTCATGAATGAACTCCAACATGTTTTTGTAAACCTTCCATAGTGTTTTTTTAAAAAAATTAAATTAGTTTCTTTGTATTTACTTTTGATTTGGTTACACAAATTTGTTAGTAAATAATCATTTCTATTAATTGAAGTTAAACTTGTAAATTATATAAAATAAAAATCTCTTAACGATTCATGTCACCCTGAACATGAAAAAATTATGAAACGAGCCCAACTCCAAATAAATATTTGAGGTCGAGTTTTTTAGCAAACAAACACAAGTTGAGCTCATAATGTGAAAATTTCAGCTCGATTCAGTTCATTAATTAGCAGCTCCAAATGCAAGAGAAAGACTTGAAAGAATTAATGATAGTTCCTCCTTTATTGCAATTCATAGAACAAATCAATTTAAATGCAGCTCTTAGAACACTCATAATTCTCTCTTACTACCTAGCTAAGACAATTATCCATAATGTATAGCTACATTGAATAATATTGAAGCATGAAGAAATAAAAAAAAAAGGCATGAAAAGGGAGAACACCCTATTGGGCAGTGATATGATTGTCCCTTCATATATTAGTTTGTGTCCGACGAGACTTCACTGATAGAGCTTCGATCCGAGGATGGTGACGAAGAAGCAGTCGAAGAAGATTCAGATTCAGATTGAGTGTCCTCATCACTAATAATCGACTCTTGTGGGTAAACCTTATCTGATTTATTAGTGATCTTGTTCTTCAGATGTAGGTGGCACAACACCCAATTCCCTCTCCGGATAATCGAGCTCTGTACACATGCACCATGAACTACTTACGACGAAATATTATTTTCATTACAGCTCTGTAATGAATTAAATGTGATAATGTAGTACCTGAGAAGTAGGTGTGATCTTGATGTTGTTGTTTTTGTTTTGGGAATGAATTAGGGCAATATGGTACATATGCATGATCCAATTTGTCGGGATAGCTCGATATCTATCATTCTTCTGCTTAATAACCTTGTAGAACACTAAAGTCCTTTTGATCCCCACAAGCTGCATAGGCATAGACATCCTTAAACTACTACATTTCGAGCACACAATAGGTTTGTCGTATCCAACGTTGTCCTTCCAAAAACCATTGCGTCCACTTAATATTGTACATCTCCTGCGTCTCCTCATCATTGTCGTCATCGTCTTCATAGTGCAAAAGAAGTACCTCTCTTGATCCCTTGATGATGAAGTGTCGCCGCCTGTGCCGAGAAAAGACAAGACAAGATCGAATCCTTAGAAAAAAATTGATGAAATATTTTTTTCTCTAACTTAAGGTTTGTTTACTCAAATAAATTTTTTTACCAATACCGTTCTCATTATGCGTAAAATTTATATTTATTCTCTCATAAAATTTCAATATTCAATAAAAAAAAATAGTAACTGACACAATTCTCTATACTCTATATATAATATATATATATACATGTGTGTCAAAAGAAAACACTAAACAAACACACCCTTAAACCTTGTTACGATATATTTGGAAAATATATTTATATATACTGCAATTGTAGTATTTGTATTGTTTTAGAAGTTTGTATGATTTCTGATTTATCTAAATGATCGATATTAGAGAATTTCAGTATCACATTCCAACATACCTGCGGGAGGAAGATCGCTTAAGGTGAAAGGATCGATTTCAGGAATGACACAAGGCGGCGAGGGATGCGAAAATGTCTTGGAAGCCAAGTATTGGAAGACAATCTCCTCATCCGTCGGCTCGAACCGAAGTCCCGGAGGAAGATTATTAAGCTTGCACTCTCCATTCTCTCCCACAAACTTGAACAGCTTCTCCATCTACTTCAAATCTCTATCTATGTATATATGTTTGTATGTATATATATATATATATCTATGGAGAGGCAGTTGACTTGTAGATATATGCATTCACATATATGATATCAATATCAAAGTCTTTATATAGTCGTAGCTGTAGAATTAATTAATTAATTAATATGGAGTCCACTTATTTTATTACCTGTATATTATATATATATATATATATGTATGTATATGTCTCCCTTTAATTAACTTTGTAGAGGCGCGCATGCTCCCGGAGATTGTATTAAGTAATATGCCTTTGCTGCCTAACCTTTTACTTTTTCAAGAATTAAAAAATAAAAATAAAAATAAAAAAGTAATTACTTCATTGTATACGAAGAAGCATCTTCAAATGAAAATGGGATCATATCTATATAAATGCTAAAGAAAGTGACACTAAACTAATTACTAATAATCCCTCGGTCCATAAAATAAAATCTGTATTCATTTAAATTGAACATGAATTTTAATAAAAATATTACTCGTCCCTCCGTCCCACATACCGTGTCTGCTACACTGTAGACACGGTATTTTAGGAGTGTAGTTAGTAGATAATTAAGAATGTATTGGTAAAAATAATTATCTTATAATATAAATAATTATAAATTAAGATTAAGATAACTAATTAGTTTAATTAAAATTTAAAAAAAAAATTAAAAATTTAAAATAGATTAAAGTGTATAATCATTTTCCAAAAAAGGAAAGTGACATAACATATGGGACGGACAAAAACGGCAATGTGAACATGGTATGTGGGACGGAGGGAGTATTATATTGGTTATTGCGCTATAAAGTAAAAATGTATATATATATATATATATGATGACATGGAATCCAATAACAGCTACTCTTCAAGTGAGTTCTAGCTAATTAAATCATCGACCGAACATAATATAAGTTGTAAATTAAATCTGGCAAAACAAGTCATACTATAGGAACCGTGTGTAGCAGGTAAATACTAATGGCATATTTGTAAATAAATGTATTGTCGAAGGGCATATATTTGAAAATGTATAAAAATTAATTTCTATAAATAAAAGGAAGATATTTAATTTTCTTGGTTATTAAGAATGGCTCAGCACATGCACATTTTCTTGGCAAGATATTTTTTCAAAATAATGAAGAGCCATATACATAAACATATAATGAATTATTCAATAGAGCAAAAGCAAAGTAAAATGTCCCACCACCTTTAATTTCCCTTTAAATGGTGTATGTATGTATGTATATTAATAATAAGTATAGGCTATCAAAGAATATGCATCGTGCTGAGTTACTTCATGGAGGGGCAATCCATAGCAATAAAGCGTCGCACGTGCATACAAATTACTCAATATATTTTTATTTATTATTATAAATGTTTAGAAACATTTTAATTAAATTAATATAGATGCATGCACGTATTAATAACATCTTAATATGTGCGTGCATGCATGCATAAAGTCAGTGTCCGAAGGTTTGAGATTGTGATTTAAATAAATATTTAATATTTATATTTTACTTATGATCCAATTATAATTTCTATTATTTCTATCCTTTTTTGTCAATCAGTAAATATATTTTATATTCAAACTTTCAATCGCAAATCCGATAATTAACCAATCATTCTGCAAAATTGAATAATTGTTTGAGAATACTTTTACATCTTGAAAATCACAACTACTAATTAATTAATAATAGACTTTGTAACTCATTTATTTTTACCAACCTCCTTCAATAATTGTTATTAGAGATTGCGCATTTGATTTTTATTGTAAATGACCAAAATCAATACCATTTGGTCGTCGTATTGTTTCTAATAAATATATTATTTTATTTAATAAAATATTATTTAAAATAAAATTTAAATAAAAAATTCAAATTCAAATCAATAACAAAGTCATGATTAGTTCTCATTATATCATGAATTTTTGAAATTATTAATTTAGATGAATAAAGTCTAAACAAACTTAACCAATCTTTTAATAAATATTCAATTACACTAAGAATATTTCGTTTGCTTAACCAAATATATTTATTTAATTTTAGCACGATATGTATGTATTTTACAAGATATGTTCATTTATTTATAGAAAACTAAACACATATAGGCCTGTGTTTATTACTTATAGAGGTCTGATATGGTCTCCTTAATGCAGCATTGGATGGGATTCTTCGTGTAAAAGAGTAATATATTATATATTAATTCTTTTCTTGAATTAAATTAAAATAATATTAGTAAGAATTGAAAGAAATAAAGAAAAGAAAGGAAAAAGATATTTGCTTTTAGGGAAAGTGAAGAAATCACAGAAGCAAGAGGGAAGATTGACTTAAAATGAGATTGAATATGTGCTTTGCTTCCTCAACAAGATGTTGGCTTTCTTTCTAATTTTCAGTATTATTTATACACTTAGCAGGAGTAACAAAAGTCATAAAGCTAGATCTCATGAAAAAATAAAATAAAATAATAAGGGAAAAAACATGCCAAGTATATTTTATATCTTTGTCACTGAAAAAAAAAAAAAAAAGGAAAAAGTTAGTTATTTTTGCTCTCAAAATTTAACTGGGTATGATATATGCATTCGTAGCTAAACTGGTTTGTTACCTAATAGTAACCAAAACCTGAGGCGAAAAACTTTTAAGTTGCTTATTTAAATCAACTAAGAGATTTGAAGAAAAATATATTGAAAAACTATTACAATTTAATTACTATTTGCAAAAAGGTTTGGTAATGAAAATTATGATGTATTTTTGGGTGGTTTCCTGTTTTGGATGCTAAGTTCGAAATACTTTGAATTTAAAACTAAAGTGTTTTGTTTTGGTGATTTAAGAAATTTCAAAATTAATTTTGAAAATATCTTAAGAATGGATCCGAGGTTTCAAGTTAATATTAAGATTTTGGAGTAGCTGAACTTTCGAACGTATGACAATAATATTCAACACTACTCCCTCGAAATGATAACATTTCGAAATCATTAACATGATCAATACCCAATACGGTAAATTTAAAAAACGTATATGTATGTTAGATGCTTATCCAAAAACTTTTGGAAGTCTGATATTCTACAACATATTTCTCGGAAAACCTTTGAAAGTCTGATATTCTACAAAATATGTTATAATGAGAGTTGTACGAATAATGGTGTATGAACCACGTAGTCAATCACATGCACAAGGGACAATAAAAGGGCATGACTGTGTCTACCGTTTCTTAACTTGTTATAATATTGTACTAAAATACACTATGAAATTGTGTTAGTAGTATAGCCAAAGCAATAGGAGATAGTGTTTTGTGAGGTTACGACGATAATAGTTTGTATAGTTCTTTGAATTAGGTTGAGCACATTGCTCAAATATTATAATTTCACCTAAAGTTTTGTTATATATATTAGAAATTTTGTATAGAGGATAAGAGGAAATAACTCAATTTTTCGCAAGAAAAATAATTGAATCAAAGTCAGATAAATTAAAAAATGTATGAATGTAAAAATTTGCAGGAAATATGTTTCTCCTCTCTTGGAAAATAGTTTTTATCAATATTGTAAATGAAGCCAAGAACTCATATTTATAGCATAAATAGGTGTCTTTTCACTTGAATCGAGAAGTCGTGACTTTGCAAGTGCATTTTATTGCACATGATATACCTACATACACATCAATAATCATATGACATATACAATAGCCTCAACCAAGATTGAGTCCTAAATCATATGAGATAAGACGAGACAGAGATATAGATAGTGTAATTGCTCTCTATCTTTGCATATTCAACACCATTTACTCTTTAGCTACTTCGCACCATATTCATACTCTCAACAAACATGTTCATCAAGTTCCTAAGAAACTTCTTTCCAAAAGAGTGTGTGAAGTTAGTTTGGTAGCAAGTTTGTTTTTAATTCAATGATGGTGGTTGTTATTTGTAGTTGATACTTTATTTATGGTTTGCAAAGTATGGTGCTGAAATAGTTTTGGCTTGTTATTTTATAATCAATTGAGAGAGAGGTTTGATTTATGAATGGGTTTGGTGGATTTTTTGGGCGTGCTTCGCTAATCAAAAAAGTTCGGAAGATTTCTTGATTCTAATTTTGTATTGATTCGGATGATAATTTTAATTTTTTGAGATTTTGGCTTTTGGCCTGTTGGGTTTGTTTGTCTTTTCAGATTGGGCTAAGACAAGGTGGCTTACGTAGTTGGGACAACAACTGAATCATTTTCATATTATTCTAGTTTGGTTAAGGGCCACCTTACTTTTGTGTTGTTTGGGCCGATACATGTGGCCCATTTCAAAAGGCTATAGGTTTTGGGCTGATGGAACCTTAATGATGCTATCGGCTATGTTGTTTGGATTGTGTTAGCTTATTTGGGCTTGGCTTAGGTGGTTGGATTTAAATTTTGAGTGAGTTTGGGTTAGGTATGGCTTTTTGGATTAGGCCTTATTGCGTTTCCATAGGTTAGGAGCAAGATCTTTGGATTGGACTTCTTGGATTTAATTTTATTGTAGTTTGGGTAAACTCTAATGGGCATATACGATTTTGGGCTTGTCTATTTGAGACCACCTCTTCACCTTTTATTATGTTAGGCTGATTTGCATTGGGTTTTCTTTATATTTCTCTTATAATTATTATTGTAATTATCCTTTAATTGTGTTTATGGCTTGTATTAGTGTAGAACCATTATTGTAGTTCTCTTCTCTATTATGAAATATATTTTGGATTAAAAAAGATCTGCGCATCAATGAAGAGTGTGAAATTAGTATTGTAATATATCGAAGCGATGCGAGTTCGCAAATCTGTCACTAAGAAACTTAACATTCTTTTTCATCCGTTGTCCCATATTCCTAACATGCATGCATAGATGTTATTCATATTCTAAATGTTTATCCATATACCCAACAAGAAAGCAAGTTGATAAATAAATAATTTTTTTTTTAGAAAACACACAAATTTTTGTGCTTACATGCTAACAATTTTGACAAAGAAGTTGTATAGTTGATCTCTCCAAATAGCATTACTACTTCCCACATTCACATGAATTGTCATAGTATGTTGGATTGTTTTTTTGCCTCGTAGAGTT